AAAAGTCAATTTTTGAAAAAACTAAAATAGAACAGATATTTGAAATCTGAAAGGAATTCTAGCTAAAAACGTTGTACTTTCAATTTTTGGGGTATACTGAATTTGGTTTTCGCTCTATAACTAGGGAAGTTCTAGCTCTGATGGTTTATTGAATTATCTGAAAAAATTCTGAGTCAAAAAAATGTAATCAGGATATCAAACTTATTACAGCTAAAGAAATCAATTTTTAAAACAATTTCGGAATATCAATGTTTGAAGCATACTGTTTGAACTTGGTTTAGGCCTCAAGAGGACAATCCGGACATTCAGGCTCCAAGAACTATTTTTGAAAAAGAACTCAACGAAAAAGGAGGAACATGAATTTTGGAGTATATTGAACTTGCCTTTAGATTCAAGAAATCGGAAATTTTATGATCAGTCCTCAAAGATTAACTAAACTATCAAAGAAAATTTTTACTTTAAGAAAAGTATCATCGAGTAATAAACTTGAAAGAGATAGAGTAGGTAAATGATGCAGTTGGTAAATGAATCTGTAAATGACTCGAAAACACACGGACTTTCAACAATAGTGGTTGGTCTATAATCGTTGTGTTTGCTTTGAGCCTCAACAGCAAAGATTAAGATATTTATCAATTGAGCTTTATGTTTATTATTCTGATTTACGATCTCCAGGTCCAGTTTATAATGGACATTTTCTATCAATAAACTCCTAAACATTTTATCAGGACCCTAATCTTAAAACTGGCAGACTCAGTAGTAGACCGGCTAACCGTTACTATCATGGTAACTTGGTAGATAAATTGGACGGTTATTGCCGAGAGATTATTTTATAATCTCTTGTTTTTAAATGCTCAGTTAAATTCTTTATATTCTTTAAACCACTGTTTCACCAACAACAAGAACAAAAAAATAAGATGTATCGATTTACCAATTTGAAACCAATAGTGCTGTTAACTTCTACTGAAATCCAGAGAGATTTTTAAAGATAAAACATTTCAGGAACCAAACTTCTTTCTTCGTTTGTAGTTTTTCTAAGTTTTGATTCGGTTTAATTTTGTATTGCCGACATATATTAAATCAAGGCCAATGCAGACCAGAATTATAAGCGCAGATAATCAGCCCGCTATAGAATGAAAGAGAAAAAAACGGATCTTTTTCTCTCGTGAATTTCTTGATTTTTCACATTTTCTCGCCTATGCTTGAAGCTGTACTAAAGGGAGAGTGAGACAGAGAGTACAATGTGAATATGCTCATACCTATCGTTTGTTAATTAAGTACTTTATATTTTTGAATGAAAATAATCATCAACAGTCTCGAAACTTGATGATGGCGTGCACATTTTATATTGACAAGGTAGATGTCGTTAAGTAAAAGAATGCATCATAAGATTATATTTCATGACACAGAAAATATTCTATCGACAACATTAGGGGATCACCAAGTTTACTTGACCAGAGGTACTCAGTTCTCAAATTACAATGGGTATTTGACGTGCCAAACAGTTGCTATGGCATCTTGGTAATGGCGGTAACGAAAGAGGAGGAGTTTGTTTTACTGCACTGTACTGCAGGTGTCTAGCGCGCTCTCCGTTTTGACCTCCAACTTTATGATCTAATTTTCAAGGGTAACAAAGAGAAACACGAACACTGTATTTCTATTAAAAATATAGTAATAACTTATTTACCTCACGAAACGTCGTGACAAAATAACGTCCAACGCTAAATGAGTCCTCCAAGTCGAATTCGAACCATTCTATCAACATTCAGGCTCTAAAATATAACTACCACACGCTGTTCTTGGCAATACGGACGATATCTCAGGTAATAACGTTAAAATATCGTGTTTTCTGGTCCCAAAGAAGCTGAAAAAACGGGTTCTGTCCTCGTGTACCGGTTCACAAGAGCCGATACAAAAGACCGAACAATACACAACAGTTAACCAATGACTCCTAAACAAAGAAAGAACAATGGTAATTCCGTTGTGAACCGGTACACCAGGACAGAGCCAAAAAACGCTGAAAATTTTTCTGTTCGTAAGCTTTTTCCACGTGCAAGACTGATCGAAAGATTATAAATTTAAATTTTTAAAAATTATTTGAATTTCAAATGGTTTTTCCGACTTTTATAGAAGACCGAACATTGTCGACAAGTTCTCGGTTAATTTCGATCAATTGTAATACGAAGTACCTCACTGCGAGCTTATTTGAAACTCAGTAGAGTCAATAAAGAGGAACGAGCATCGTTGCAATCGTTGAAATAATGATGAAAATATTTCGAACTTTTACTTGAAGACTCTTTTCCACTTGCTAAAAACAGTACATCTTCCTCCAAATGAAACCTGGATACAGTGGATCAAAGGCAACCTAGAGTAGATGCCTCTGCTAAATTTCAAATCATTTGACTATATTCTAGTTCATTTGATTAACTATCACCTTGCTCAGACTCGTGTATATGATCGCGTTTTTTCGAGATACGGGGTTCCACTTTTTTTTTTTCCAAATTGCATCTCTGTCGATGAAGAACATATTTACTATTTCATTACTTTTAACGACTAAGTTTGATTAGGTTTCCAAATTCTTTGTTTTGCTACACCAAGCATTTTTTAACAAGTAAAGTTGTCTTAACTTTCGCAAAAAATAGGTGTTGTATTGTACCTTGATCATGATTTCATGGTGACCTTTTTCTTGTCCCCAATGTGGCCGATCATTTGAAGATGTTTTGAACATCCATTTACCATTTCACGCCCTAACGTCAATATCCATATTCTCCAAACTGTTCTGAAAACATTTCATAAGGTGCTCACAAGAGCTTTTTAAGTTGGTGATCATTTTCTATATTCTTATAATCCTAACGTTTGATTCAAGGGTGATCAGGTAAGGAGAAGTTAGATGCTGGTCAGTCTTAGAGGTTGAAGAGTTAAGGAAACTCGTGGAAAGAGGATTTTCTTTCCTTCCTGTCCTAACTTTGTTTCTATGCCCCTTTCCTGTCCAGGATACAGGTGAGGAACAAGCTGGGAGATATAAAGGGTTGGGCCGCTCTTAACAAATGTTTCAGCATAATTACCGAGCAGGTTTTAATTATTAACGTCGCCGAACAAGAGTCGAAGCCCGCGAGCCCCTTATTTTTCACGTCAGAACCCACTTCATTTGAACTAAGAGGGAGAAATCTTTGTTTCTCATAGGTAAGAGCGTGTAGCATCCTCTGTAACGTGGAACTTTGTCCTCACTGAAACGCTTTCGTCCATTCCAAATGTGGAAATAGAGCCCGTTTAATAGCCCATTTCCGAATTACCCTTGGCCTCTTTTTCAAAACGAGGCCTGGTGCTCAACCATTCTTGTGAAAATGAGTTAAATTTGCATGTGAATGAAACCTTGTTATCATATGAAAGGATGAACACCAGGACTCGTTTTGAAAATGAGGCCATGGGTAATTCGGAAACGGGCTATTGAAGTGAGCTCAGGTTATAAACATATCGATGCGCGATTATTCTCTGCGATTACCACCTCTTTAGAATTTTTATTGTAACTCATTTCATAATTCACTCGTTCCCTCTGTTCAACAGGTGGTCGAATTTAATCCTGCCTCGGTTGTCCTACACAGAAGTATGTTCCGGTCAAGTTTTGATCACCCGCCAATTTGTAGTCTTTAGAGCGCTTAGAGGAATCATTCGTTTTAAGAATAAGGCACAGATTCCAATGTGGTAATTACTTCAACACACTTTTATTGCTCAACGAGGTTATGGCTATTTCCGTACACACTGGCATTGTCATGGGATAAAATGAGTAACTTAATGTAGTTCAATCAAAAATTACTAAGTTGCGTCATTAACGCACTACAGATTCTGAAAATAATCTACATCCATCCTAGGAAGGGCCCTTGGAAATTCCAAGGCGGTTAACAGGCAGGTATGAAAGCCAACATTTTACGAAATAGTTTGAAAAACAGTACAGGATATATCCCGAGGACTTGGGTGCGGTGCCCTACTCTGAACAAAGACCCTCCAAGAGGGTGGTGCAGATATAGCTTGATACTATACAAGTCATTTACATCTAGTGTGATCTAACTATCAGTGACTTAAATGCTACAGAAAAACAGGTTGAATCGTCCGACCTACATGAAAACTCTTTCAAGGCAGAGTCAGGTTGCTAACCAAAGGCTGCCAGAAGTTTTCATTCACCCTTTAACTCCAGAAGTGATTCACGAGTAACTCCATACAGTATCGTCACTTATTACTAAACCATCTTCTGGATTTTGGAGGAACACAATTTCCTAAAGCAGTTGCAATTCACTTGATCGAACAACTACTCCAACAGGTGTTTGAGTATCACTTTAGACCTCAAACATCACAGCTCGACTTCATTGTTACTTTTCAAGGTTTACCATTTTAAGAGGGAGGGAAGGTTGTAACCATCTGCACTATAATTATTACTAATAAATTAATCCTTAAAACAGTTTTTGCTTCTAAAAAAATGAAAAACGTGATCATTTTTACACAGCATATCCACCCTCTTACGGTAAATACTATTTCAAAATAAAATTACATAGCATTTAAAGTGACAAGTATGTGCCATTTAACCACTAATATCAAGGCTGTGCTCTAAGAAAAATTGAAGGGAGCCCAGTGCTCTGAAACTGTGAAATCTAGGGTGCCCAGCATATGCTTCTCATGAAAAAACTAAGATTCCTGAGTCGCCCAAGAGCAAGAGTAAGGTACCAGGGGCCACCAGGCGCTGCTAGACCACAACCCTGAATATGTGGCATTTACCCCTGTCAGCACCAAGCTTTTACAAATAGTGATGCATGCCCAGTTAATAAATTATATTACTGTCTAAAAGTGACATAATCCACTGTACAGTTTGTCTTAACATCTTACAGAACTACAACAAAATAACTGAAGTTAATTATATGGTTATTTTAGAAAGCTGCCATGAAAAAATGCAACAAAATCTACTCACCTCACCCTCTCATCACAAAAATCCTCTCAAACTTGAAACACATAAATATCACTTAGCTTACTTTGCATTTTATTTTGAATCCAAATTCTAATGCACATTTCTCTCTTTTTGCCTATTAACAACTTCTATTGAATAAGTTTGGAGGATATGTGTCTCTGGTGGGACCAACAACAAACAACTTCCAAGTATGGAGTCAAGATCACACCCCATTGGCTCCTGTTTGTGGATAGTATATCGATACTGGAACAAGAGGGAATGTGCTCAACACATGTGGGGGTTAAACGATGACAGGACTACAAATCTGCTTAAGAACAAGTGCACATCAGTCATGTCTGAATCCAATTTTAGTCTGTCCCTTCACAAAAAAATGTCCTCAATTACTAATATTTACCAGAAAAGAGAGAGAGAGCAAAAAAAACACCATAACAAAGACAGCAACCCTGAGTGCAAACAAAAGAGAGATTGTGCATCTAAACTCAAGTTGTCTTATGTTCTTATCATTAAGTAAAAAAAAAATCCTTAGAGGTGTAATTGAATGAGTTTCTTACATTTACAACACTTGAACAGAACAGACCAAAATGTTCTCTGACACTTTAGTGGAAACTCAAATACCCAGATATGATTGGTATCTTATCCCCTTAGACTTCTGCCTTTTAGTTTGCCATCAAGAAAATTATTAACAAATGCCTCTACAACCTCTTTAGTCAGCACCTCTGCTTCAGACATATACACTTGTTGCGATGGAATATCTAGTATCACTAAAATGTTATCCTCTTCCTCGGGAAGTGCTAGGAAATCGCGCAGACTGTCGGATGTCTCATCGCCTTTGGTATAAAAGAAGAACAGAGGAGGGTTTTCATCTATTCCCTCTGCCACCTGGATGCAGTGCTCAGCTACAGGTTGGATGATTTCTTTCGCACTTTGAATGGAGGCTTCTTCACCATCTTAAAAAAAAAAAAAGCAATAGAGAGTAAAATTAACATTATTGGTGTTCTGTCATTGACTCTTTCACCTTGTTTGTGCTAGTGTTGAGTCTCAGGAGAAGGCAAAAGCCTTAAAAAATGATTGCTGGCCAATTGAGCTAGATGTAAAGCTTGAAGCACTGATTTTGTATGGGAGAGTATTGAAACAACTAGGCATGAGCACAAAAGGAAACTTTTAGTAAACCGCCACAAAAACAGCTTGACGAATGTGGTTAAAAGGAGGGTTTAATAAGCAAAACAATGTCTCTGCAAGTACATCATAAAACTTTCTCATTTCTTAGCTGTTCTTAGTAAAAGCAATTTGAAAAATGGCAATTTTTTTTACTGCTTCTGTTTGGAAGAGAAGCTGGCCCCCACATACATGGTGTATTCCCATGCAAATAATTCTGAAATGGTTAGACACACCAAATACATCTAGTCATTCACAAAATTCATAAGAAAAAATATTAATATTAGCTAATAAAAAGGAAATATTATTAAACCAATATTTCCTTCAACCTGATTCATAGCTATCCTTAACCTACATCTATAATTTTTATTTTACCAACCTGTGAAATAAATCAGACATTTCTCGTCATTCACAGTACAGACTGTTAGTTCGTCAATCACATTTAAAGGCTTCAATTTCCAAGGAAATTGCTGCAAAACAAAGTGGCAGTGATAAATGACCAGCTTTAACCACTCACATCCTTACATCAATTTGTCTTTTCTCGTACTGTTCTCTAAACATTTCTCAGCCCAGTCTACTCATGGGCACTTGGCCACTTGTTCTGAGCTCTTACACGAGACAAACAATTACACGCTCATTTAGTAATCATCTTGCTGATAGTATCTGGTGACTCCCATCAACTGTCAGTGGTAAGCTGCCTTAATCAAATATTAAAAGCAAATGTAAATTCTACATGTGTATACAGGTCCAAACATGAAGTGTATACACATGTTATATTTCAGGAGAGAAATAGGGTCCAAAAATCAGATGAACACAAAATTAATTCTTGATTTGTGATAACTTACCTCTCCTTCTGGGTCAGCTGAAACTACATTGCGACCGTTTGAAGAAATGATCTTGTGCTTCTCATCAAAAAGGATTAAAGTTGGAATGCCTGCAGAGACCAGAAGAAACTGCTCATGAATGGATTTTGATTGGAAACTGGATAGCTCAAGATTTAAATGAACCTTTAACCCCTAAGAGTGACTAACATCTAATTTCTCCTTACAGTGTCACCCTCAAATCACACATTAAGGTCAGGAGAATGAAGAAAATGATCCCCAACAAAATTTAGCCTTTGGCTGTTGTCCTTGTCAGAACCTTAGGAAATGTATAGAGAACAATATGGAGATCATGCATACTGATGTTGCAGTGTGAAGGTCTAAAGGAGAAGTATGCTCTAGAAATCATATAATGTTTGCTTCTTTCATTAAAAAATAGTTTTTTAAATTTCTTAATTACCACATTTTCTAGATTCCAGAGTGTGACCTAACCATTCGGAAATTGTGTGCAAATGTATTGGTTGGCTAATGTATCAAAGTGAATACACTGAAATGAAGTACAGTTGTTTGTCGCAATTTAGTCATTTCCAATGTGAATCGTAATGTTTCAACTGCATACCGCAAGTATTGAATCTTTAGGCAAGCTGAAGAAGGCCAGCAAGATGGCCAAGAGCACATGTATGTGTACCTCTAAATATCTAACCCTTCAACCTGTAACTTCTCCCTTTAATAATCAAACATTATCCAGCAAACAGCAAATGAGAATGTACCCAAACTTATCAAATAGAAGTTGATATCTTGATCTAACACCAAATTCTCCCAGTTAATTCACAAGGAAATGTGTAACAGGTAGGGGGGAGAATGAACAATCAGATATTAGGAGTAAAGATTTAACAGAAGAAACATAACTTGGGTATTAGTCTCACCTTGCACTCCAAACACCTGGGTCAGCTCTTGTTTCTTTTCTGCATCAAACCCAATAGAAAGCCATGGCATATCTTTAAAATAATCATTGTACCCTTCCTCACTGCGGTCTGAACTCACAAATATGATTTCAAAGGCCTTTCCTTTCTCCTGGACCTTTTTGTATGTCTCAATCAATTGTGGTGTAAAGCCTCTGCAAGGAGGGCACTGTTCAAAAATGAAAGAAATTGATTTTTTTCATTTTCAAATTAAGTTGCATTTTTTTTCTTACAATGGGAGTTGAATTTGACTTTCAGCTACCTCCATAAATAAAGGGCTGCCTACAACTGCACGTGCCTACTTTTGTATAGTTGCCAAGTATTCAGCAAAAAAAGCAATGTGGTGTAAAATGCAGAGGGGTTAATGAATAGCGCTTATTGATGCCAAACTTGTAACAAAAGAAGGACTTAGTGCAGAGTTTGTAGACTGGTAATGGACAGGCAAGGACAGGGCAGGAATAGGAATAAGGTACATGTTGTAAATAAGCATCAAATTTACATTCGCTCTGCTATGTTCAGAGTAAACATACAGGTACGAATGTTTGATGCTGTAACTTATTTTGTTCAAATCAATGACAATGTCAAAATGCAGAGGTGAGGCCCTGAAAAAAAAAAAATTAAACTTTACCAGGAAAAAACAAAAATGGAACAACAAACCCAATCAGATTTGTCTAATCACAACCAGTGTTAGAACTGAACCAGGACAAGTTACAAGATTTCTTACGAGTGTCATGATACCTACCCTGCTGGCAGAGGCGTTTATTTGCTAACTTCCCCTACGGTCCACGCAAAAATAAAGTCCTCTGCACTCGGCCTGTTAAATCTTCTTCAAGCATGCACGGCCTGTTGCTTAGAAACAAATTAGTTCCTGGTAGTACTCGGCTGATTGTGGGCTCACACTTGGTCTTGCTATATAGCTAAATAGGATGCGTGCGCATAAAAACGTGTTTAAAACAGGTTCTGACCGGTTTTGCAAATCAGATTATCCACAAACTTGGATAATTCCCAGGCGCATGCTCGAAGAAGATTTAACAGGCCGAGCGCAGAGGACTTTATTTTTACGTGGACCGTAGGGGAAGTTAACAAATAAACGCCTCTGCCAGCAGGGTATCTTA